AGCTGGCGTTATTTCCTAGGAAAGCGGCTTTTTTGAAGCGAGGATTTCTCCTGCCTTCCACACGCGCACATGGCGTCTGTGCTTGGCGGGCTAGTCTGGGAAAAAGAGGCTGTTGGGGCGGGAGGAGGCTGGCTTGAGCCTCAGCCCCGGTGGGGTTGGCTTTGCTCAGCTGCTGGCATTAACGCTGCCGCAGGGCTTGGGCTCTTCATGAGGAACACTCGGTGGGTTTTAGGTGTGACTGAGGGTTGGCGTTTGGCGTTTCAGCCGGTGGAAGGGCTGATGTCTCCTCAATGCTGGGGCACCAAAGGACTGGCGTGGGAGTTTCTGGATCAAAGGAAAAGCTCCAGGTTGCAGGGGGGGTCCGCAGCAGCATCCCCTGGGTTGCTGGGTCAGCGCCGGGCCAGAGCTGTCGGCTGGTCCGTCTTGGAGCAAAAGGCTGAGACGTGGCCAATGACAAGTTTTCTTCCAGGCATTAAGGACAATCATCATTATTCAGGGGAGGAAGCTCCCTGATCCAGCCTCGTTTCATGTGTGTCAGGGCAGGCATCTCATCTGGGTTTACACTGAAGAGCTTGGTCAGGGATTTAACTTTTTTCTCTTCGGCACGAAGTCGTCTGAGATGTTGCAGAGACAAATGGTGAAGAAATGTCTTTCAGCTGCATTACACCCTTTCCTCTTTACAAGATTTCTGCTTGTGTAATGACTTGGATCATGGCAGGTCAGGCAGAGGAACGGTAGTGCTACTCTAGAAATTATTTGGAGTTCAAAATCCTATAGATGTATTATGGGATTATTGAACTAGAATAAGTAAAAGTAAATAGGGCTTTTCCTGTGATCCATTTTGGGGTTTGCCTGTTACCAATTTAAACTGCCCTGGTTTAATTTATTTATTTAAAGGCTTCCCTTCATAAATTTAGTCCAGGATTTTCCTGAAACTCTAGTAGCACGATTTGTAGGTGTCAGGTCCTGTATGCCATATGGTTGGTGACATGAATACCTGCTCACTTTCACTGCAGATATTAGTTACAATTCTTCCTTGATTTCCACTAGTGTAAGTAGTGCAACTTTTCTCAAAGTGTAAGTTCTTAGTATCAAAAACATGAAATAAGGTAATCCTAGAAAAAGATCTGAATGGTTTTGAATGATCTCTCTTGTTTAAAGTTTCAAAAAGTAGTAAGAAGCACTACGTCAGTGTGTTCTTACCCAGTTTATATCAGTGTTACTTGTTTGGAGGAGAGAACAGTTTGCAAATCGGGCTTCAGAAGGTTTATTGGCAAGATCTTTGAAGAGATGGTTCATGCAAATAAAGATGTTACCTGAGGTTGCATCAGCTGCCAGAACTGAAATGAAATTTTTCCCTTTATTGACATTCCATCTGGGATTTTGGACTCCTTGAGGCAATGATCGCCTTTCAGTATTTAAAACGGTTACCGATGTTAGTAACCTATGCTAGTGCTTTTCTGTTTTTTCTTACTGAATGTCTATTACAGCCGTCTTTGCCAGACAGAGAACGACTGGACTTTACGGCAGTCTGTCATCTTTATACTTCTTTTTTTTTTTTTTCCCCAGAAAGGGAAAAATGATACTGCATTTTAGCAAACACTGCATTTTTGATAGAGCGCTAGATCACGTGAATTACTGTGCAAGCACCATTCTCTTCGGTGGCTTAAAATTTGCTTGACTCATCCTTTCCCTGAAATGATAGAGGTCTGGCTAAGCAGGTGACAGGACTGACCTTCTAAGGTGGCGATCTGCGGGGTATTACATGGAGGGGAAGGACACCTGAAGTATGTGCAAGGATTCTCATCCTACTTGGTGGAAACAAGAAATGACTTTTTGGTGTGGTGCTGGTAGAACAAGTGCGTAACGTTGTGCAGAGTCTGGCGTGCCTGCACCAGGATGCTGATCCAAGTGATAGCCTTCTCGGACAGGCTGCGCACAGATTAAAATTGCACTCGAGCATGATAACACTGCAAAATCTGCTTTAATAATCATCTCACAAACTGAGTTGACCAAATCCTTGTGCAAGCTTTAGTTTTTAGAGCAGTTTGGTATTTGAATACAGCTGTCTTTGAAGTGTATACTTACATATTTTTGTAACAGGTAACTTTAGGTAACTTTGCTAGTAAAACACAAAGAACAGGAGGCATTATCCCTTCCTTTTAAAGGTACCAAACCCAAGTATTAAGACAATACCTGGTTAAATATTTCAAGTCCGTGAGTTAAGCAGGTATGTGTGTGCCATAATATGCCATAGCGTTGCACTGTTGGAAGAGATCGGGAGCTGTGCCAGTAGTGAGTCTAGTCTGACAGTCGAGGTAAGATGGTTAAAGGGTGAATAATCAATTATTCTCACTTCTGTTCTTAATATAGGGTATTAGTAATGTATTTGTGAGTGGGGTCTACTGGCTTTCTATCCTGACTTCTCTGATCAAATCACATTATTCTTACTTTTCCCCAAAATAGTTGATGTTCTCCCATCCCCTTTAGGCTAGTTAGCTGAAATTATTAGTCTGTTCTTTAAAAGGCCTGGAAGTGTGTATTTAGCTTCTCATTCGAAGGTGATATTTGAAGTCTTTCTTGCTCCAGATGTTTATAGTACAGAGCCATTTGGCACCGAAATGTCACAACCCCCATTTTTCAGTAGCAGGGTTCTCAACCTTTTTCGGTTCAGTGAAAACAATTGACTGTACTGATCTTTTTTGAATTGATACTTGTTACCTTCTTTACTAATGAGGGCTGTGTTCTACTAGGAACAATTTAATGAGTACAGATTGTCTAATTTTGTCCATTTTGGTAACTGTACTGACAATTTTCACGAGAATAAGGCTTCTAAAGTCTAGTAAATGACAGTATCCTGCACTGAGTACTGAAATGTTTTATAAGTGTCCTTTATAGTGGATAAAGGCTCTAATAGTTATGGAACTAACCCATTTTACTGAGGAGTAAGAAGGAACAAACATGAGAATTGCAAATTACTCTCCTTCTAGTAATGTAGGCAGCAGCTTCATGGTTTTGAGCTTTCGGCTGTGTGTGTCTGCTAAGTCAAAACTGCCAGTAGACAAGAAGGTGCTAGAAAAGCTCTCTGTAAGATGAAAAATCAGTAGCATCTGTATTATGGCCATGGCAAGGGTTCCAGCAAATGGCAGAATTCCTGCTTAGCTCTGGGCAAAAAATGAGTGACAAACCCTGAGATTCCCAGAGGGTGAGCCGGGCTTCCTTTCTGTGTCGTGTCAGATGTTGCCTGTAACTTTGAGCCCTTTACCCCTTTCCTTCACCTGGTGTGTTGGCACCTCTTCGCTGATAAGTAGGGTCTGGTTTGAAAACAGTTTTAGTATCGTATCTAGAAATGAAGATGCAAATGCCATAGTCTTAGCATGGTAGTGATAAGTAACAGGGTAAAAGAACGTGATTGCAACATAATGCAAGTGGAACCCAAGTTAAAATAGGTTTCTGAATCTTTTCTGTGCTGCAGCCTCTGCAAGCGCTATTAAAGGAAAACTGAGTAACGAATGGAGGCTACTTTGGGTAAAGCCATGTGGGGCTAGAGTGGTGGTAGCCATTCTGAAAGCTGAAATCCTGGTTAGTGCACTGAAATCGGCAAAAAGACTCCAAATCCTCAAAGTTCTCTGTTTATACACCCACAGGTTTCTATTCCCGGTGAAGCCCGTTGTGTAGCTGTCAAGGAGATATTCTCCCTAATTTATTTTAAATGGGGAATGAGGATCATCCAATTATTAAAAATAGTTGAGTAAAAGAGCATGGATAAACTTTTGCAGACAAAAGAGAAGACTATTCCTTACAAGCGTAGTTTTCTGAGTTTTTCACCTTTCTGCAAAATACAGCGTTGGTTGGGTCTGAGGGCTTGCTTTCCTGTGTAGCTTCACACTGAGATGGGTCTGATTCTCACAGATGTTGATCTGAAGCGTGGTCAGATTTCACTTGATGAGTTGGGATACAGTGATAAGTTTCTTGTAGCTTCACACTGAGATGGGTCTGATTCTCACAGATGTTGATCTGAAGCGTGGTCAGATTTCTTTTGTTGATGAGTTGGGATACAGTGGTAAGTTTCTCATAGACAAGCAGCTCTTGTTGACCTCAGACCATGTAATTTTCCAAAGTTTGTGTAGCTTAATGTTAGTTGTTTTCCTGCTGTGTTGCAGCAGCTTCTAATAATGGGAAAGAGGAGCTCTGCATCTGGAAGATGAGGATTAGATTCCTGTTGCTGCTGTGGATTCAAATAAATCAGTTCAATTCTGTGTCTGTTGCCCAGTCAGTGAAGTGGAGAATTTGTCATTTGTGTGACCAGCAGCAGTGAGTACCTGTTGCTACAAAGCTCTGTCTGGTGTGGAGTGTTACAAGATGAGAATTTTGCAGAATCTTCTGTTTGATAACGCTGCTGTGAACTTTCAGCATACTAAAAAGTAGAACTTCTTAGAGGCTTGGGCACTGAGTGGTTGCTTTTCTGTTTCAGTTTTGAATTTGCAGTGATCTGATCAAAGTTGGTTGTGCCTGCAGTAAAGTTAAACCTTTTTTACATCAACCGCTTTCAAGTTATTTATTCCCTTTGTGCCTGTGGTGCAAAACGGAATGTGAAACTGTCATCAGGAACTGCTAAAAACAAGATTAAAAACAAGCAGCAGTATTTTTGGAAGTGTATCTAGGATTGCAGATATCTTAACATAAAATATGGTAAACCTGGGAGATTTATTTAGAAAGCCAAAAAATTAACTGCCCTGCTGGTAGACTATTTTCTTTAAAACCTTTTCTGTACAAGAATTGTATTTGAGCACAGTGAGATCTTTGGGTCACTGAAATTTCTAATACTTCTGAATAGTCTGCTGGTTTTGTATACTTTCCCTTTCATAGTAACCTGGAGTGAAGCAATATGCTCTGTTTTATGACAGCCTTTGCCTTCGTTAAATGATTTTGCGGCACCAAACTGAATGATGGAAAATGCTAGCGATGGGATGTGGTGAAGTCAGTTGTATTCCACGTGTGTGTGGTCTTCTCACTGTATGTTCTGGATCCCACGGTTCTTGACCCATTTATCATGACAAAGAAACATATAAAAGTGATGCTGGATGTCAGGTGGTGTTTTAACTCCTGGCAGCTGCAGGTATGCTTTGTGATAGCTCTGCTTACACCAAAATGAGTTGAGCTCTTGCTCTACTCCCTTTGATGTCCCCCTCAGCTGGGCAGCTGTTGTACTGCACCCAGCTCTGTTGATAAGACACCTGCCTTTTGGAGTGGTATGTGCTGTTGCTTTCCAGCAGTTTTTCTCCTTGTCTTGGAATGCGACATTAATTTTAATGGTTGGAACCTGTGTTCAAGTCAGTGTCTCTGCAGAGCTCATCCAGGCTCCAGGGAGGGATTGTTTCTGTAGCCTTTTCCACCCAGTGGAGAGCTTATTTTTCCAGAACTTCCCGTGTTTTTGTACAGTGGAGAAGATTTTACGTGTTAGAAGATTGCCCAGACTGGACATTGAGATTCAAGCTCTCCAGATTATTTTTAAGAACTGGAGTGTCTCTGCCTAAAAGAGGACGGGAATATATTACTGTCTGGAAGCAGTGCAGCAGTATGTTGAGACGAGACACAAATAAAATATTATTTGAAATGGGTTGACTTTTTTCCTCAACTGATTAATCTTTAGCTTGTTCTTCTGTCAGCTCCAGACTGTCATTTCTGAGAGAGGTTTTTTTATGCATTGCAGGAACAACTGAGCATGTACAGTACTTTACGTTGCTCTTTGGACTTTATTGGTGTTGTACTGTCTGATCTCTGCAAGCTGCCTTGTTTTGGTCTAAAGCAGAGAAGAAACTGTAAACACATTTTCATAGTGTATGATTTTTGCCTTTCTCAGGGGGACTAAGTAACTTGGAGACTCAGAGAACCTTTTAAGAAGTCATTCAGACTGAACATCCTGCGTTTCCTTGCCAGCTCTTTCATTGTGGCCGAGAAAATCCTTGCGCTAAAAATACAGATTTTTGCAAACCGATGTGCACTTCTGCATATTTGATTCTTCTGAAGCCAATTTTTTTTCCCCACCTTTCAGGATATATAGGTCAGTGTTAGAAGAAATTGAAAACTCTTGTTTCTGCTGTGCCAATTACATGTTGAAAGTGGCCAGAATGTCATTGACTGTGCTACAGAACTGAATCGCATTGTTGTGGTCTTTCATCCTCCTGGCATCTCTGCTAGTGAGTTTGGGAACTGCCACAAAGCGTCAGTTTATTTTGTCAAGGTTTCCTGCGAGCAGATGACTAAAACTGCGGGAAGAGATACTAGTTCCGTGAAAAAATATTGGAGAAACATGGGAAACCTGTATCTGTAACAGTTCTCATTTTAATTTAATCTTCAGCAAAAATGAATGCATATGCTTTATTCATGAGCTTTAGTGACTCAGTGCATTACATAGGCTGTATAATATTTTATTCTTTTAAATTTATGGATATGAGATACAGGGTTTGGTTTTAGCAATTTCTGGCAAGCCCAAATCATGGAAAGTTAGGTTTTTCTCTTCTCAGAAAACTAAATACACGTATATTGTATTATCTCAAAACCAAAGATAAATTACAAAATTTAACAGTAGGAAAGCATGTAACATTTATAATTCAGCCAGCTGGTCACTTCTATAAATTTCTCTTCTTGATTGCTTCTGGATATTTGGCATTTGGAGTGACTTGCTCATTGCTCAGGAGTGTTTAGAGAATTACTGCATGGATTTTAAAAAATTACTGTGGGGTTGAAAAGCCTCATGCGTGATAAACTGCTGTGACAAAGATTTAACTTCCATTTATATGCTTCATTACTTGGGATGTTTTAATGGGGGACATGAAGTGTAGTGGTAATTCCAGTGGTGCCGTGTAATGTCGGTGTTGAGTGGTAATACGTAGGCGGTGAATATTAAAGGAGCGTGTATTGCTTGAAAGATAACGTTATCAAAGCCATGACTGTTGACCTCCAATCAACTTAATGTTGCTGTTGGTATACATTGTAATTCAAACTGAAGTTTAATTTTGAAGCTTGTTTGAGGAAAGGTGGTGTGGTTCAGGGTATTGTCAGCAATTCTCTAGGGCAGCCTGTGCTACCACGACTGGGGTCTCTGGGGGTCAGTGTGTAGGCTAGAATTGTTGTGGTGGTTAACACTGGGTGGTAGTGGAGATTGTGTCCATGACACTTGATTTTATGGATGGATGTTACGTAATCCCTTTATTCCTGGTCTAGATAAAGTGCGCACTGGCTGAACAATGTGTTCTACTCCTGATCAGAGGTGTGCACAAAAGTAGCTAACTTAGGTGCGAATGAGAAATTGTGACCCCTTTGGAACATAACCATTTTTGTTTGTACTTTTCCTCAAGCCTTCCCCCTGCCCCTCCATCACCATATCCTTTCCTACTGCAGTTCTCGCTTCTTCGTGTTGTGCAAGGAGCGCAGTGAGAGTACAGAGATTGAGTCATCTGGAGGTTCCAGATTTCTCTCTTTGAGATTAAACAGCATGGAGGGAATTAGATTGAAATGGTAGGCTATTCAGCAATTCAGGAAGACAATATTGCACAGTTTATTGCATTTGAAAGGGTTTGGGTTTGTTGCCTTTTTTTTTTTTTTGCAACCAAAGACTGAGCCTTTTTGGGTAAGAGCATAGATTCTTCACTCTCAGTGCCATTGAGTTGTGGACAGTAAGTCACCTAATGAGGAGATATTACCAGTGTAGCGGTTTTGTTTCTGCAGGTGTTCTCAGAGTGTTTCCAGGCATCTGGGGCTAAAGTTCTGAGGACATTTGGCTTTGATGTGGCTAAACCAATGGGTTATGTTGTAGAAGATGACTGCTCTCCATAATCTTACTGGAATTTGCTACGAGTTTGGGGTTTTTTGTGCTTCAGCCTTATCAGTATTCCATGTTATCACTGATTTTTACACCAGATATAATAAGCTTCACCAGTAATGGTGTAATCACTTGGTTTTATTTAGTCTTATCCTAACCCTGATAAATGTTGTTGCATGCAATTCAGCCATAGTTATGGCACTGCTGCCATAGAAATGTCCTTTGTATTTCTGGGCAACAGAAATGGGTGGGGGGTGTTAGATAAATGGAGGGAAAGCTGTGCTGGTGGCTGTAGGAACTTGCTCAGACCAAGATGGTGTCCATGTCATCCAGACTAGGAAAGAAAGCTTTGGATATTAAAGGGAACCAGCTGTTTGGAGTTCTTGCAGTGGGGGAGATTGAAGCAATAATGGAGGGGGTGAAGGATTTTGGAGGAAAGTGGTCTGAGGCTAAGAGGTAGATCCTACTAGCTTGTCTTACACTGTGTTTGAAGGCTGTTTTGTCATTGGGATCCAAAAATGTTTCCTTATGTATAGGTCTGACCTAATTGTGTGCATATTTTCCGTCCACGCGTGCTAACTGCAGTGTAGAATGGGGCGTTACAGTATGTGTTGGTACTATAGTCCTGTGTAGATACTGTCTTGGGCCAAGGTTGGGTGACAGCTCAGGGAAGCATGCACTTTTGAGCAAACCAAAATGCATATATACATCTAGTCACACTGCCCAAGGTGGGTTTTATATTGAAATAGAACTAAACTGGTGCTATTTAAAATGGGACATTTAACAGGGGAAGTGTTGAGCCATGAATTCTGTTAGGTTAAAGTTAGACAACTGCAGCAGGGGACACTAACCTTTCCCTGGTATCATGACAGCGCAGTTTCACCTCAGCAGGCTGATACTGCCCTGTTATCTTCTCATTCTTTATTACAGTGACATTTAGTCAGACTCTTAAAATAACATTAGGGATCTTGTTTATTTTGATAACTGACTTGTGACTCCTTCCGACAGTGCGAGGATCAAAACCAGGCAAAAATGTCCAACTTCAAGAGAATGAAATTAGAGGATTGTGCTTAAAATCCAGAGAAATCTTTCTGAGCCAGCCTATTCTCCTAGAACTTGAAGCTCCACTGAAAATATGTGGTGAGTACTGTGATTTTCATTTGATGCTTGGGGGGATGGTGGTGGTCAGGTAAATGCAGACCTTAGTCAGAGAACAAATGACAGATGCTGTTTTCACTTAGTAACAGTGGAACTAATAAATGCTTGTAGCAAGAGAGAAAATAAAATCCTGCTGGGTGCTTAGGGTGAAGGAGGGGGAAGAGGTCACAAACCTGGAATTGGAGTGATGACCAAGATAATCTAAACCCAAAAAGTAACTCGTCCGCTTTCACCAGGTCTCTTGGGAAAGGGATTCACATGAAGTTTTGGGAAGTAGTTTTTGTATCAATGAAAGAATGTTTGCCCCAGTCATGACTGAACAAAGGAGAGCTGCAGTAGTTTATTGTAGCTGCTATTCAGAGTTGAATGGTGGTTTGGCAGTATTTTAAAATCCTGCTGGGAACTTAAAATTTCTGTACTGTTTCTTGGGATTGCTTCCTAGTTTGGTTTCACCATCCTTGTACACAGGGGTGCTGATTTTGCACACATATACGTGTCTAGTTGTGCTAAAAGAGTGAGGGATGTCAAAATAAAAGCCTCGATAAGTGCACTTTAGAAAGCTTCCAGCAAAGTGTTTTATCCTGCTCTAACACTGAGCATTTACTTCAAATTGAAGTAGCTTGTTCAATATTTATAACACTGGTAGTCTAAAACCATGATTTAGTGTTCTGCTTGTCAGAAACAAAACCATGATTCAAACCAATGGCAGAAATACCAATTTAATTTATGATAGAACTTCAGTGCTAGAATGTGAATTACTGGGTGTTTCAAGAAAACGTGGGAGATGGTACGAAGGAAAGCAAATTCCCCAAGTGGTCAGTTTTCCATCAATATTACTAACGCTGTGTGGAAATAGTGAGGTAAATGCTCCTGATGTCACAGCCACTATTCAAGTAAAGGATTTATCTGGATGTCAGGTTTTCATTTGAACACACAGTTGGTTTCTTGGAATCTTGGTTTTGTTTTGCGTGCGTGTGAAGATTTTCAGGTAGCTACGTACCTCATCTTAGTGCAGTTAACGGTTAGGTGTCAGACTTCAGCATGTGATAATTCTACATACGTTTAGATAAACTGTGATTTTAAGTATGTTGTAGGCAGTATCTAACTGCAAGCTTTCTTCTTTCTAAAGCGTCACTCTTGTTCTTTCTCTGGAATCAAAGAATGTAGCAAAGGGTCACTTCCCTGTCATTTCTGAATACTCTTTACAGGTGACATCCATGGACAGTACTATGACTTGCTTCGACTCTTTGAATATGGAGGTTTTCCACCAGAAAGCAACTACTTGTTCCTTGGTGATTATGTTGACAGAGGAAAACAATCTTTAGAAACAATTTGTCTTCTCTTGGCCTACAAGATTAAATACCCAGAGAATTTTTTCCTCCTCAGAGGGAACCATGAATGTGCCAGCATCAATAGAATTTATGGGTTTTACGATGAATGTAAGTAATGCAGAAGTGTGCGTCTTTGGCTTGGGAAAACAGGGTCAGAGGTGCTAGTGTTTCATTGTTAGGTGATTCTTTCCTAACTGCAGTTCCCTTGGGCATTCTGGGCGGGTGTTTGGCCTATATTAGGAAAGGAAATGTGTTGTTTCCCTGATCCAGTTGGAGTCTGATCCTCATAGTACAAAGTAGTGTCCAAGTGGGCAATTTTATTTATTGGCTACTGTGTTAACTCACAGTTCTCACTGATAGGTGGTGTTAAAGTGCTTCAGAAAGGTCATCTCATGAGAGATGAGGGAATTTTACTTGATGTGCTTTACAAACATTCACCTGTTTGTTTCCTGTGGGGGATGATGATGTATATTTGTGTTACAACGTAATGTGGAGAATGGGCTGGTCCTTACTGTGGTTGTATTGCAGTGTTAGCAGTCTGCTTCATATTAAGACCTTTAACTTTGTGATGGTAAAATAAAACTGGACTCTGCCCTTCTTAGGACGTGGTCCTGCTGTATCATGTGCTGTTACTTTGGCTAAACCCAGTATTTCCTTTCATCAATGGGGCAGAGCATGTGTGAAGCCTGCAGTGTGCTCTCTGCTTCACCCCAGCACCAGACACTTGCTCTTGCAGTAGGTGGCTTCAGCTGCAGAAGTTGTTAGGCATCAGCCTCTTAATGAAGAAAGCTGCTCGCAGTCGGCATCCCAAGCCCTCCTTTTGAGCAAACATGGCGTTGCTGTGCAGTTAACGTGCCAGCTCTGTCACCGCAGAGCGCATTAAGGTCCGTTGGGATGGAGACTATACGTAGACCTTACCCTAACATAACAAGTAATTTTGCTGTGAAGTAGAAGTATATAGCCATGTTTCAAAGGGTGTGACTTAATAAATCCAGATAATGTAGGGGAGACTGAACTGTTAAATTAATTGTGCACTGAAGCATTCTCGCATGTTGTGTTGTGGGACACGCTTGGCTTCTGGCTTACAAGATGTACCCTCCATGTCTTGTTCTCCTTCAGTGAAGAAACAAAGATGTGTGGTATTTCAGAGTTGACTCCTCAGAGATTAGTCACAGGCTTAGTCATATATTGCAAATATGTTCAGGTCCTGCTGAAAGTAAAACTGTAGCAGTTTCAGTTTTCAGTCCTGTTTCTTTGCCTAGAGAGACTTTATGTGGTAAATAACTAGCAGAAGTTGAAAGTAAGTCTGCTTTCCAAGAATTGCGGTCTTCCCCCAAAGAAAACACCAAATGGCAAGATGTTCTGAAATGGATCAAATTCTCCAAGGGATAATTTTCTAAAGCGGAGTTGGGACTGGGGAGGTCTGGCTGCCAATGGTGGAATGTCATTCTGTGGGACAGACTTGTGCTGTCCTCAGAGCTGCTTCAGAGCGCTCTGCCGCACTGAGAGGGACCTTTGCGGCTTTCTTACAAGCAGTAAAGTACGTCAGTGGGTATGGGAGAAGATAAATTGCACATAGGCAACAACGCTAGCTTTTTGCAGCTGTGTTAGGTTTGCTGTACTTGTGTTAGAACAGTGTATCGACTGTTTTTTCTCTGCAATGTCTTCTAGGCAAGAGAAGATACAATATTAAGCTGTGGAAAACCTTCACAGACTGTTTTAACTGTTTACCAATTGCAGCTATTGTGGATGAGAAAATATTCTGCTGCCATGGGGGTAAGTAACGGTTCCTTCGTTGGTATTGGAAAAGCCGTAATACTCTAGTATCAGTTGCAGAAATACCATGTTCAGGTTGCTGAAGCTTGAAGACTTCAGGGGATTTTTCTCTGCCTTGGTTCATGTGTGAGGTAGGGCTGAGCTTGATCAGTGTCAGTTTTGTGAATCGTTGCATTTTGTAACTTCAGACACAATGATTGGCTTCTCCTTTTATACCAAGAGGCATTTTTAATATAGTCAAAACCATGATCTGTTGACTAAAGAATCCTTGTAGGGTTTTTCAGACTTCTGTGACAGGAGTTTTAGGTACCTTCTGAAACATGTTTTCGTAGAATGGTTTGGGTTGAAAGGCACCTTTTAAAGTTTAGTAGAATCGCTCCTGCCATGGGCAGGGACATCTTTTGCTAGGTCAGGTTGTGCAAAGCCCTGTCCAACCTGATGGGTTTGGAGTTTCATTTGTAGAAACGGGATCTGTTACGTGATGTGATAGCCGCTTCATGCGGCTTTTCAAATTAATAAAGCACATACTGCACCTTAAAGGTTTTATCACTTGCAAGTAATTAGTTGCACAGGGAGACATATCAGTGAAAAATGGTATGAGGTCTGTTGGATTCTGCATTTCATCTTACTGGGTCTGATTGTTAAAGTAAACATACCCTGTGATTTCTAGCATTAATGCCTCTTCTACTTAACAGCTCCTTTAACAGACTCCTGCAAAATATTAGTGAGATTATTGTAATCCTGTAAAATGTGGAAATGGCTTTGCTTATCTTGCTTCCAGTAAACCTTCGAGTAAGTGACTTGTCTTCTGTTACAAAAGCTTTAAAACAAATGCTGAATTAAAAAAAAGTAAGTTAACACTGCCATTGGACTACGTCAGATTGCGACAGTGAATCAGTTTGAATACAAATCATTTTTGTCTTGCAAAGGTGAACCAAAATGTGAACTGTGTGTGTCTCAACTCTGAACAGGTTTGTCACCAGACCTCCAGTCAATGGAACAGATAAGACGAATTATGCGCCCTACAGATGTCCCAGATCAAGGTCTACTTTGTGATCTCTTGTGGTCTGACCCTGACAAGGATGTCCTGGGGTGGGGTGAAAATGACCGAGGAGTGTCCTTCACGTTTGGTGCTGAAGTGGTTGCTAAGTTTCTCCATAAACACGATTTGGATCTCATATGTAGAGCACACCAGGTAATTTTGTACATTAAACCGTAGCATAATTTCAGTTCGGAGGGACCCGAGGTGGTCGCCTGGGCCCACCCTGACACATGCTCAGTGCAGGACAAAGTGGTGTAAGCCCAAGTTGCTGAGCATCTTGTCCAGCCAAGTTGTAAATACCTGCAAGGATTGATACTCCACTGTCTGAACAACTTGTCTCAGTGCTTAGCAGCCCTTGTAATGAACACTTTTTTTTTCTTAGTACACACAAACTGTGGCTCTGATTCCTCAACAAGATTGTCTTGAACCTAGCAGGATCCTGGTGTTCTCATTGCTAACGGGCTCTGTGGCTGAGCTGGATCCCGTGGTGGTTTTCTTGGTTTTGGTGTACAAGTTTGAAACTCATGCTCCTTAGCTGTAGCCAGGTTTTTGGCTGCTGACTCTGTCAGAGCTGCTTTGCACCTTGGTGGGAAGAAGTTGTCCAGTCTAACACTTCTGCTTTTCTCTCCAAAGGTTGTTGAAGATGGATATGAGTTTTTTGCAAAAAGGCAATTGGTAACTCTCTTTTCTGCCCCAAATTACTGTGGAGAATTTGATAATGCGGGTGCCATGATGAGTGTGGATGAAACTCTAATGTGCTCTTTTCAGGTATGGTGTCTGAAGATTTTACCTCCTAGTTAGTGTAGGCACGCTTCAAATTTGTTGTATGTTGAATTGATACTGTGCTGTTACGAAACCCTAACGCTTGGTTCAGATCGATTGTTACGGATGTCACACATAGATAGGGCTGTGTTCTGTCTCATGTCCTCAGAAATGCGATAAGCCCGTGCTGCCTGGAGCAGATGAACTGTTCTATCCTGGAGTCACATCCGAGCAAAGCTGTCAGCTCGTAGCCTGCTTCCATTGGCATGGGCTCTGGGATCAGCTGCCCTAAGCCCTGCCATCGCTTCGCGTAGGCAACATGGTTATGTCCTGGCATGTTTGTGTCTTGGCCGGGTGACCTGTGTAATGCCTTTACCAGAGAATAATTTGATTGCCAGACAGCTAAAACCTTTTGCTAAATGCCTGAACTATCTTTCCAGATTTTGAAACCTGCGGAGAAAAAGAAGCCCAATTCCAGCAGACCTGTAACGCCTCCCAGGGGGATGATCACAAAACAAGCCAAGAAATAGTCACTTTGGCACTGCCTTGTTGGGACTTGTATTATAGTATATAACCTCCATTTTTAAACTGTAACGTGTACTGTTCAGCTTGCTCAAAATAGATAACGTGTTTGTGGCTTCCCTTCTGATTTGATGAATAGCATTTGCTGGTTGTAACAGCGAATGAAAAGACTCTTCTCCCTCCCAGGAAAAGCGTTTTCAAGTTCCCTCCCGTTGGTGTTACGGCTGTACACTCCACAGCATCTTCTCCTGTCCGTATGGGTAATTGTACAACTGGCTCGGGGTCTGTGCGAGGCGTAGTGTAAGTGCTCGTTTTCTCTAGGTTCTGAAGAGGGCACTAGTGTGCTGTGAGAGTAGAGATTTGTTACTGTCGGAAATTACATACTGTTTATACGAACCACTGTGAACTTTTTTACGTTAAGTTTTGTTTTAAAGGGATTGCTTTTAATGTCATGTATGTGTCCGTTTTCTTGCTGTTGACATTAGAAATAACCTTCAACCTTGCCAGCGTTGCTGGTACGATGTATATTTAATTCAGACACACGTCCCTCTCCGCATACTTCCGGTGACAATTAAAGCCATTATTTTAAGCGTTTGCGTCTCTTTCCTGAAGCCAAAGTTCGCTTAGAAAACTGTTTGTACGCACGGAGCTGGCAGGGCTCTGCACTCGTGGCGGCCTCTTGGAGGCGGGAGGAAGTCCTGTCTTGAAATAGCAAGTAGAAACGCTGTGCTGTTTGTTCCGCTCGTGGCACAAGCAAACACAGTTTTGTACCGTTTCCGTCCGACCCAGTGGCGTCAGGCCTGTGGCAGCCAGCGCCAGAGAGCTGGAAGTTGCGGGAATGGCTTCGCATCTGCCTGGATGGGGTTGTGTGTTTTAGCCTAAGGACTTTGCAGAACAAAGACAATAGCTGGATGAGCCAGCCGCAGGTGTTGCTCTGGAGCACCGGTTTATATAAATCTCACAATCTCGGTTTTTTAAAAACTGTTACTTTTTTGAACAGATAACAGTGTACAATATCATGTAGTGGAAATCACTTATTAAATGAAGAAATTGTTAAATCCTCTCAGTGTCGGTTTATCCCAGCGCATACACTGCTGCTCTCCCAGGGCTGGACTTGGATAAATAAATTGTTCTGGACACGCACAAATTCCTGATTTGCCTTTCTCGTGGCAAACCAGGAGCCACATGCTGGTGGCTTTGGCAGGAGTGGTGGGCTGTGACCTGGTTCTGGAGCTCTGTCACACAGAGGGGCAGGTGCAGGAATGAAGCTCCTTGTGGTGTTGTGATCCCAGATCGGTTGTCAGAGCTGCTGTTTCTCAGGCCTTGCGCATGGCGTAGCGCTGGCCTCACGCTTCCCAGGCCGCTGCAGCAGTTCCAGTGTGGGAGGAGGCACTTGGCTTGCGTTCTTCCTGTGCTTAGAACAGGGCCCGCCTGGAGTCAGAGCTGTTTGTTGTGGACTGCAGACCTGAGAGGGTCGTAGCTGAGGACAAGGCCTGCTCCCTCTGGTTCTTAAAGAACTGAATTGTTGGCGAGGAGGGGAAGCTGAGTAAGCCTCGCCACTGTGCCTCGGC